GTATCTAAAAGTTCTTTTATTCACAATTTTTCTCCTTTACAGTTATTAAATATGAGAAAAACATTATTAAAATTTAGTGTTAAATTAAAGTTCTGCAATTAAGTCATTTGAAACAGAAAAAATAAAATCAAGTTCCGAAGGATAGTTAGTTACACAGAATTGAGTGACTCTCAAAACCTCTAAAATATTTCTGTTTCAGCGCTGACCATCTTGAATATTAATATTTTTTTCTTGACTCCATCATAAAAGTACAAGTTGTAGTAAACATATTTAAAATTAATGTTTATTTTACTTAAATATTCTTTAATATATCTAGAAAGATAATTATTATGTCTAATTTTTCCATCTATTTGATAAGTTTATCAAAAGAATTAAAGCAAATCTAACATATATTGATTAGATTCTTGCTTAAGTTCTATAATTTTCAAGAAAATGAAACTTGTGTCTTCATTAATTAAATCTGGATCATTATTGGTTGATACTGACCAAAATTTGGAATCTAAAAAGACAATGAAAAACAAGCCAAATGAAGAAAAAGAATCTAATTAATTAAATTTTTAAAAGTCTTTTTAATTACAGATTTATTTATCCTTGTTCATTTTTATTTCATTAACTATCAAGTAATTTCAGATTTTTTAAAGTTTCAAAATTTCTTTAGATTCAGAACAGAATAATTTGCATTTCGCAATAGTTAAAACTTGATTGATTTTCTTATTGAAAATCATTAAAATCTGATGAATTTGAATATAAAATGTATGGGGTCTTACGAAGGTTTTCGTATGAATTAAAATTATCTGTATATTTTAAAATACATCAAAAACAATAATTTAAATGGTTTATCTTATAATAATAAGTTCTATTTGATATCAGTAACTTCATCACAAACTTATAAGTCTTTGAGCAAAATAATTAAATTGAATTTTGTCAAGATCCAGAATTGTTATTGTTCACTTCGTTCAATTGAATGAATTATTTTATTTTTGGTTTTACTACTTAAAGTTATTATTCCCTTTAATTCTTAATAAAGTAAAATATCAAAATAAAACTATCTTCCTTGTTAATTTTATTATTTCTCTTAGTTTGTTATATTTAAATTTTGATAACACTCAATTAATTACCAAAAAAATTCTAATATTAACGATAATTACTAACACTTTAATTTTAATATTATGGAAATTTATTTAATTCTTTTGATTAGCTTAAAGCTTCTACATTTTTGAGCTATTAAACTATAATTGAAGGAAAAAACCCAAAAACATTCGAAATTATCTGAATTTAAATTTTTACAAGAAACAAGAATTTCATCAAGTTTTTTATAAGCTTTTAAGTTAATTTACGATTAAAATATTTGTAATGAATCTCTCATTAACTTTATATCACAGACAAATCAAGCCTACAATCAGAAGTAATACGATTTGAGAACAAAACCTTGTATTTTTATTTATGATGCCGCATAAATGATCCTATGAGTAATAGCAGAAAATTAAAAATTTTACAATCTTATTTCCATAATTAAAAAAATTAATTTCGAGTATTCGTTTTAGCTAGATTAAGGTTTTTTTTTACAAGAAAAATTAGATGAGGTTGAAAAGTAAGAAATTTTTTTAAAGTAAAATATTCAAATTTTACTACATAGAAACAGGTTGCTAGATATATCATTCCTGACTTTTATCTTTCTTCTTAACTTTTCTTAAATGACCCCAAATATTAAGTATTTTTTAATCAGTTTCTCATATATTTTTTCCAAATATATGCAAATGAAGTTCTATTAGGTTTAGCCTTACATAATATGAAAACCATTTGATTTGCTATATCTATTTAAATTATTAATACTATATATGATTTTATTTTGAAGATTCTAATGACCAAAAAATCAGGATTATCATCAAAATATTACTGGATTCAATAAATTC